ACCGTGACCAGATGAACGGTCACGATGATAGCTGCTCGATTGACTTTGGCCAGAAGCATTAGCTTGTGATTTATCTTTACTGTTTTGATCGACAATTTTTTGTCCTGTTGAATTACTACTAGCACGGTCATTGAATCTATCCGTTTTACCGGATACATTTTCTGAATTATCATAACTGTCATATGAACGATTCTGACCAATATGTTTTTGATCTTGTCGCTGTTGAGTAGACGACTGATCTTGATCTGTAAGGCTAGTTTTATTCTGTAACTGCTTCAATTCATCATTTAATAAATGTACAATTCGATCTGGACGTATATTATCAGAATTCCAATAGACTGAATTCCATTGTCGTTAATAATAATTCGTAGCACGTTTGATCTGTAGTACATTCAATATGCAGCTCAATTTTATTCAGACGTGGTGTATTCGATCGCCAACTTGTATCTAGGTTATACTTCGGTGTATACTTGTTTTGTCTTTGCCATGCAACGCGAAGACGTTCAGTTGATACCGTTTTTATTTCACATATTTCTTGTGGTGGACTACATCGATTAAGTGTATTTGATAGATATTGTAAAATTGTTGTAAGCAATTCAGTTGTATAAAGTATTAATGAAAGATTTAATAGATATTTTTCATGCAGAGGATTATAAAAGACACGTGTCTGATTGAGACATGGTACGACCAACGAGGGCACAACTAGACGTGAACCATTCTTATTATGTTGATAGACAGCTACTTCACTGTCTAAATACGGTACGGATGTAAGAGTTGATGGTGATAATTGTGCTTGAAAAAAGTTATGTGCATAAATAAAATTTTGTGAAATGGGATAGATGATAAAAATAACGTGGAGATGAAGATACATTATTTATAGGTTTCTGTCTCACAAAAGTATAATCAATGAGTATATCTCAATCGATCTTTATACCTTTATATTCGTCTGGTGAAAGTGATGAATCCGGCAGCTCATCAGATTCGGTGTTGGACGACGGCGAACGCCATCAATCGCAATGTCTACCATTTTATAATCCTCAACAACATCGTGTACATGGACCACCAAAGCGAAATGAAAATAGGGAACAAAAAAGTACAAAGGACGATAAATTTTTGAAATCTATTAGTTATCAATTGAAAACTCTTCTGTTAATGAATTGGTAAGTGTACCACACGACTACATGTATTTTAATCTCCTGCAACTTTTTTTTGTTTTTCAGATTCAAGCAGAAATGACAAAATAAGACATAAATGTTGAAGCAGAAGAGCTAGTGAGTTGATACTTCACAAACAATCTCGTTAATAAAGTATATACTATTTTAGTGATGTAATGGAGAAAATTTATTTGACATTCCAGGTGTTACTTGCATGGAATT